ATTAGGCCGTTAAACTAAATTCGTTGTGTTTTTCGTCTTCCGACACCACCCTCTATGGCCCGCACCCCAAAGCTACCTGAGTGTTGACCTGTGGACCCCAGGGAAGAGGCCATGTACCAGAAAAGGCCCAGCAGGTGCCCCGCATTCCACAGACAGGGGGCTGGAGGCTCAGAGGGGAGAAGGGACCGACCCGAGGTCACATGGGACCCCAGTCCTCCCTGCGACAACCCCTCAATGTCCATTCATCTCTACATTTTGTACCTCTCGCTTATAAAAACCAGGATCCCTCTATCCTTCCTGCCAGTCTTTTGCTAGGACAAGGGAAGAATAAATGATTCAGGCCGGGCGAGGTGGCTCACGCCTGTAATCCTAGCTCTCTGGGAGGCCGAGGCGGGCAGATTGCTCAAGGTCAGGAGTTCAAAACCAGCCTGAGCAAGAGCAAGACCCCGTCTCTACTATAAATAGAAAGAAATTAATTGGCCAACTGATATATATATAAAATTAGCCGGGCATGGTGGCACATGCCTGTAGTCCCAGCTACTCAGGAGGCTGAGGCAGTAGGATCGCTTGAGCCCAGGAGTTTGAGGTTGCTGTGAGCTAGACTGACGCCACGGCACTCACTCTAGCCTGGACAACAAAGCAAGACTCTGTCTCAAAAAAAAAAAAAGAATAAAAGATTCACCTATAATGCTAGGTTTTAGTGCAATGGAGATACAAACACAGGACATTCACTCAATGTCTTGGCTTTATTTCCTCTATAAGAGATAGTTAAGCATCTTTTGCCTTTAGAAATGTACCAGCTCAGAAAAGCAGTGGTTTAAGCACAAACCTGAAAGGCCCCTCCAAAACCGTGGGGGGAAAATGGTAGGTGGAACATTAGGAGACTTCCCCCTCTTCCATCGTAACCTACCATTTATGGATGCTTTATTCTTTTGCCCTGAGAAATATTAGTTCATTTAATCTGTTTTTTTTTTTGGGGGGGGGGCAACAGAGCAAGACTCTGTTGACAGCGCCCACAGTGGCCGCTGTGAATCTCCTGTTCTTTTGGAAAACTGGCCTGTTTCAAAGTTCAGTTTGATCACGTGGCACTTGACACGAATGATCCATTTTGGTTTGGTCTGTTGGGGCCTTGTAGAGGAGCTCAGTCCAAAACCACAGCCTCCTGTGCACTTTATTTAACAGTGGTGTGGGCAGGCCGGCCGGTGACTACCTACGCCAGCTGGAGGGTTGAGCAAATGAAGCCGGATCCAGGAAGGCAGATATAGTGAACAAGGGTCCTTGTTACGGCCAGGAGTGGTGGCTCTTGCCTATAGTCCCAGCACTGTGGGAGGCTGAGGCAGGAGGATCGCTGTCAGCGCATGTTGACAGGCATGCGCCACCATATCTTTGGTTCAGATGGGGTCTCGCTCTTGCTCAAGCTGGTCTTGAACTCCTGACCTCAAACGATCTGCCCACCTCCGCCTCCCAGAGTGCTAGGATTATAGGCGTGAAGCCACTATATCCGGCAGTTCATTTAATCTGGGAATCCAAGACTCAGGAAATAAAAATAATGATGACGATGCGGCCAGGTGTGGTGGCTCACACCTGTAATCCTAGCACTCTGGGAGGCCGAGGTGGGCGGATCCTTTGAGCTCAGGAGTTCAAGACCAGCCTAAGCAAAAGCATCTCTATCTCTACTAAAAATAGAAAGAAATTAGCTGGACAACTAAAAATATATAGAAAAAATTAGCCGGGCATGGTGGCGCATGCCTTTAGTCCCAGCTACTCAGGAGGCTGAGGCAGGAGGATTGCTTGAGCCCAGGAGTTTGAGGTTGCTGTGAGCTAGGCTGACGCCACGGCACTCTAGCCCGGGCAAGAGTGAGACTCTGTCTCAAAAAAATAAAAATAAAAAAAAAATAATGATGATGCTATTATTTTGTCAAGTCTGTTGGTTTGATAAGTTCTTTTTTTTTTTTTTTTTTTGAGACAGAGTCTCGCTTTGTTTCCCGGGCTAGAGTGAGTGCCGTGGCGTCAGCCTAGCTCACAGCAACCTCAAACTCCTGGGCTCGAGTGATCCTTCTGCCTCAGCCTCCCAGGTAGCTGGGACTACAGGCATGCGCCACCATGCCGGCGTAATTTTTTTTTTTATATATATATATCAGTTGGCAATTAATTTCTTTCTATTTTATAGTAGAGACGGGGTCTCGCTCAGGCTGGTTTTGAACTCCTGACCTTGAGCAATCCGCCCGCCTCGGCCTCCCAAGAGCTAGGATTACAGGCGTGAGCCACAGCGCCCGGCCTTGATAAGTTCTTAATTAGCACCAGTGGAAATGAGTCACACAGTTGGTTCCTTCTTACCCATTAGGTTTGGATCTACACTGTTCGATACAGTAACTACCAACTGCCAACCAGATGAGGCTATTTAAGTTTTAAATTAATTAAAATTTAAATTTAAAACTCAGTTCTGGGCTAGTCCCGGTGGCTCGCACCGGTAATCCCAGCCCTTTGGGAGGCTGAGGTGGGAGGATCACTCGAGGCCAGGAGTTTAAGACCAGCGAAACACATCGAGACCACCTCTCTACAAAAAAAAAAAAAAAATTTCTTTTTAATTACATGGTGACATGTGCCTATAGTCCTAGCTACTTGAGAGGCTGAGATGGGAGGATCCCTTGAGCCCAGGAGTTCGAGGCTGCAGTGAGCTATAATCACACCACTACACTCCAGCCTGGGAGACAGAATAAGAACCTAGCTCTTAAAACAAAACAAAACTCAGTCCCACAGCTCAACTGTCACGTGTGACTCATGGCTGCCATATTAGGCAGTGCAGTTCTAGAACATTCCACTCTAAGGATTCCATCATGGTGCAACGTTCTGTTAGATCCTGCTGGTCTAGCTTGAAAGTTGCCTCTTTTGAGAGCTCTTCCCTGACTTGACCACATCTTTCTAAAACAGATCCACCCTTCGTATTTTCCCTCTTTATCCTGCTTCCTTCCTGGCATTGGACACACTCGGAAACGATCGTAAGTTGTTTCCCTATTTCTCATCGCCCTGCTAGGATGTAGGCTCCCTGAGAGCCCAGCCATACCCATCTTGTTTCCTCCCGGAGCTGTCGTGATAAATGTATCTCCTCGTCCCTGCCACCTACACAGGTGCCTGCAAAACTGCCCCCCACCACAAACGCTTCTCACATAAGCTCTGAGATTTGTCTCCCACTGGATAGGAGACGTGGACTGCTTTCCGCTAGTTCCTGCAGAGACTGCCACACCGAGGGAAAGAACGGAATTTGGAGCAGAAAGAATGTTGGAGCTGACCCCACAGAGCACGGAGGACTTTTCATAGGTTTTGCCGGCCGACAGGCCTGGCCTTGGAACTTGGCACCCCTGCTTCCTAGCTGGGAATCTTGGGAAAGAAACACCACCTATCTGAGCCTCAGTTTTCTCATCTATAAAATGGAGATCTACCACCAGCCTTGTTATAAGGGATAAATGGATAATTTATACAAACTGTAGGTAGAAGGAGGGTGGAGCAGCTCACGTGTTGGGTGACAGGGGTGTGGGTGGGCAAAGGAGAGGCCCAGGAAATGAGCTGGGAGGAATCCACTGCTTATGAAGCACCTGTTGTATACCAAACTCTACATAGCTTACAAACACGATCGCATCTAATCCCTTCCATATTTCGCAGAGGAGGGATTGAGGCTGGGAGAGAAGGGCCATGTCCAAGGTCACGCAGCAAGCAGTCTTAAACACAACCCCTTCTGACTCCAAAGGATGTGCTCTTTGTACCAGACTCTGAAACTTTCTCTTCCTTTATCCTTTCTTGAAACTCAACATAGTCTTCCCCTAAAGAATGTTGATATAGAGAATACTTGCCTTTTCTTTTGTCTCTGTCTTCTACTTTTAGCAACCAGGGTTAAAATGAAGCTCACTACTAATGGAAGAACCCATCCAGATTTTTCTCATTGTGGTAAAGAGCACAAGAGATGCTTACAAGAATAGCCAATAAGGCCAGGTGCAGTGGCTCACGCCTGTAACCCTAACACTCTGGAAGGCCATGGTGGGCAGATCGTTTGAGCTCAGGAGTTCGAGACCAGCCTTAGCAAGAGTGAGACCCTATCTCTACTATAAATAGAAAAAATTAGCTGGACATGGTGGCACATGCCTGTAGTCTCAGCTACTTGAGAAGCTGAGGCAGGAGGATCGCTTGAGCCCAGGAGTTTGAGGTTGCTGTGAGCTAGGCTGATGCCACAGCACTCTAGCCCGGGCAACAGAGTGAGTCTCTGTCTCAAAAAAAAAAAAAAAAAAAAAAAAGAATAGCCAATAAAACTCCAGTCCCCCGGGAGAAGAACAGGCTGGAAGGAAGGAACATGAGAGCAGAGGTTCCCCTCTGGCTGGTGAAGTGACAGCTGGTGGCTCTTGTCTTCTCTCTGCTCTCCTATATGTCTCAAGTTTTCTACCTGGAACTGCTGTTTTCCATTTATCATTTGGGGGTAGGGGGGATGAGAAGGTGGATAACAACAATAGTTAAAAAAAAAAACAAAGCCACCAACTGCACCCCCCCTGGGATGGTCCCACCTAATGGAGCCGATAGGTATTTGTTCCTGACACTCAAACTGATGGCGACAGTTCCGGGGGGGGGGGGGGGGGAATGAATGAATGAATATCTCTTCAGGAGGCAAGGAGGACTGTCCCTTCTTCCAGGCTGCCATCGTCACTGGTAACCCTTGCCAGCCTGGGCTCATTTGGCTTAAATTGTAACTAGTGACATGCAAGGCCGGCCTTTCCAGGTAGGCTGAGATGGTTCAGAAGGCCAGTTTCCTGGCACGGGGCCTTGATGTGGCACAGATGGCCACCACATGATTTTGAAAGGAGGGGAGGAGGAGGGGCCCACGCCTTTTCCGCATAGCCACCCTCAAAGCGTTGGCCATAGCAGAAGGCCCGACGGAGCGGGGAAGGGGGCTGGGAAGGGGGCAGACCCCACCCTGACTCTGCAGCCCCCCGTTACCAGGAGAAAGGGCACGTTACCTCATTTTGGGGACCAGGGTCTCGGGTTCACCTGTCGCCAGAAGCACCTCTGGGGTCAGGGTCCCCAGGCTGGCCCGGCTGCCCTTCCGGGAAGACTCACGGAACAAGCCGGCGCCGGGGTCCTCGTCGTCGGAGCATTCGTCAAAGGAGCCCAGGATGAAGTTGGTCATCAGCTGTTTCTTGATGTTTGCCTGCTTCTTGTCCTCCTTGGAGGGGGACCTCGCCCGCTGGCCCTGGGGCTGGACCGGGGAGGACAGGCCGTCGGTGTCCGGGGCCTCGGGGTCCTCACTCCCCGTCCCATTGGCTTGCAGTTCTGGGGAGGGTGACACATGGTTGGAAGAAAGGGGGTCTCTTGGGGGCTTCTGGCGCGAGGGTGGCAGGGAGCTTCTCCGCCGACCCGAGCCTTTGGGACGTGGGCGGGAGGCTGGCTCTGCCTCCTGGGGAGTCTTTGGCAGGGAGACGCCGCCATCGCCACCGTGTTCTTGCGGTGGCTTCTCTGAGCTGTCCGAGTCTGGAAAGGGCTGCTGACTCCGGATGGCACCCGCCTCCGATTGACTCACAGCGACCGGCTCAGAGTCCGTCATTTTCCGCCAGATTTTCAACCAGGAAAAGGTCAGGCAAGAGAAAACCAGGCAAGATAGAAAAAGAAGCAAGACCATTCAGAAAATCTGTAAGGAGAAAAAGAGGGACGTTTTAGGGTAAATATCATCCAGCTCTTTCTCTCCTAAAGGAGCTAATGGGGTCAGAGGCAGAGGGCTTCCGTGGTTTTGAGAAGCACAGGAAGAATGGAGATGGGCTTCTCCTCCCCGGAGGAAGGGAACAGGGCCTCGACCTTGGACTTGCGGCTTCGCTCCCCTGCATCTCAGTGTCCTGCCTGTCACTTAGGTGTCCTAGCGCACGCTCAACACAAACCACAAACACGCGTGCGAGGGAGAAGTCAAGGAGAGGGTGCACGTGGGAGGACTTTTTCTAGCAGCATCACTCACGATGTCACCACCTGGAGACAACCCAAGTACCCACGAACTGACGAATGGGACAGCGTGGGGTCTATCACACACGGAGAATTAGCCACAAAGGGAACGAAGCACCAATACATGCTACAAGGTGGATGGACCTTAAAACTCGCGAAGTTAAAGAAGCCACTCATGAAATGTCACCTATTATGTGACTGCAAGTACGTGAAATGTCCAGAATAGGCGAATCCCAAGGGACAGAAAAACAGATTAGCGGTTGCCAGGAGCTAGCGGGGCAGAGGTGATGGCTAAAGGGTGCAGGGTTTCTGTTTGGGGTGATGAAAGTGTTCTAGAACGGATCGATGGTAGCACAACTCCACGGACGTACTAAAAACACTGACTTGTACCTTATGTGAGTGGATTGTACAGTGTGTGAATTATCTCTCAACAAAGCTGTTATTATTAAAAAAGACTCTTAACTACCGTGTTTCCCCAAAAATAAGACAGGGTCTTATATTTATTTTTCCTCAAGAAGACACCCTAGGGCTTATTTTCAGGGGATGTGTTATTTGTTTTCAGTACAGTACAACAATCTACATTTATTCAAATATAGTTAAGTCGTCTTCTTCTGGAACATCATCATAACTCTCCAAAGCCCGAATTCCATCCTGAATTTCTTGCGACTCTGTTTCCTTTAGAACCATTGGCCCCATCTCTCATGTCGAGCACTAGAGCTCTCATGGGGCAGATGAGAAGGGCTGCTCATCTTCTTTACTGCTCCGCGGCGAAATGCACGGGTTGTGCAGATGCGCTGCGCAGCCATGCCCGTCACTAGGTCTTGTTTTCGGGGTAGGGCTTCTATTGTGCAAATGCTTAGAAATCCTGCTAGGGCTTATTTTATGGGGAGGTCTTATTTTCGGGAAAACACGGTATATTGCACTTTATAAATATAAGGAGATCGTTGGCTCTGTCATCATCATGGCTGCGGTGCTATCGTTGTCATTATCACAACCCTGGAGGGAGGAAGGTCACCTGCCGTTTACTTTCTCCATAGCACCTAGCTCAGGTGCATACAGCTAGAATGGAAGCTCAACAAGACCAGGTCTGGGCTAGGTTCTGGTATGCAGTGGGGGCTTCACAAGTGTGTGCTGAATTAATGAATTCTGATACTCGGATTTCTAACCCACACCTCTTTCTACCAATCACACTAGCCCTGCCCTTTTAATGAGGAGATCATTGTTATTTGAAGGAAATGTTTAAAAAATGGAGCCTAGGCTGGGCGCGGTGGCTCATGCCTGTAATCCTAGCACTCTGGGAGGCCAAGGGGGGGGGAGGATTGCTCAAGGTCAGGAGTTCAAGACCAGCCTGAGCAAGAGCGAGACTCCCGTCTCTACTAAAAATAGAAAGAAATTAGCTGGAAAACTAAAAGTATATAGAAAACATTAGCCGGGCATGGTGGCGTGGGCCTGTAGTCCCAGCTACTCAGGAGGCAGAGGCAGGAGGATCGTTTGAGCCTAGGAGTTTGAGGTTGCTGTGAGCTATGGTGATGCCATGGCACTCCAGTCTGGGCAACAGAGTGAGACTCTGTCTCAAAAAAATAAAATAAAATAATAATAATAATAATAAAAAATGAGACCTAAAGATGTTGAAATTTCTGAACCAATTTTGCCACAGTTATATACTATAAGCATCACAAAAGAAGGGCCACAGAGTTGAGGCAGATCCACTTGGTATCTAAAAGACTTTCTTTTTAAATTTCAACACAGCGTTCATAAGGAAAGTGGAAAAGTTCTCAAGATTTCCTAGAACTACATGATCCAAGAACTTCTTGCACACTTTTGGCAACGGAATTTGCAGATATGTTGGCAAGGGTATTTTCTAGGTAATACACAGGGTCAGAGAGTTTTTTGTTTTTTGTTTTTAAGATCATCAAGTTTGTTTTTCCAGAAAAGTCAGTCAAAGGTGGTTCAACATCAGTGTAACACACTACATTAATAGAACAAAGAAAAACATCACGATTATCTCAATAAATGCAGAAAAAGCATTTGAGAAAATCCAACACCCTTCATGATAACAACGCTCAGAAAATGAGGACTAAAAAGGGAACTTCAACATACTAAAGTGCATTTATGGAAAACCCAACATTGGACTGGGAGCTCCAGCCAGAGGCATTAGACAGTAAAAAGAAATAAACGGTACACAATTGGAAAGGAAGAAGTAAAGCCTTCTCTATTCACAGATGATGTGATCCTATATATAGATCATCCCAAAGAGAAACCACACACACACAGAGAAAACCTACTAACTGTAGAGATAATAAACAAATTAAGCAAAGTTGCAGGATACAAGATCAACATGACAAAATCAGTTGTGTTTCTATAGACCAGTAACAAATAATCTGAAAAGGAAATTAAGAAAACAATTCTATTTATAATAGTATCCACAAGAATAAAATGCCCAGGAATAAATTTAACAAAGGAGGTGAAAACCTGTATACTGAAACATTTTTGAAAGAAATTAAAGACTTAAATACATGGAAAGACATGGCATGCTCATGGATTGGAAAACTTACTGTTAAGATGGCCATAATACTAAAAGAGATAAACAAATTTATATGGAATTATAAGGGGCCCCAACTAGCCAAAACAATCTTTAAAAAGAAGACTCATATTTTCCAATTTCAAAACTTACTACAAAGCTATAGCAAACAAAACAGTATGGTACTTAAAAATCAAACCCATACTTCTATGGACAATTTATTTTTGACAAGGGTATCCAGAACATTCAATGGTGAAGGAATAGTCCCTTTAACACATGGTGCTAGGACAACTAGATTTCTACATGCAAAAGAATGAAGGTGACCCATACTTCATACCACATACAATAACTAACTCAAAAATGGATCAGAGACCTAAATATAAGAGCTAAAATCTTACAACTCTTAGAAGAAAACATGGGGATAAATCTTCATGACCTTGGATTTGGCGATGGATTCTTAGCTATGACACCCAAAGCATTAGAAACATAAAAAAAATAATAATAATAAGTACATTTGACTTCATCAAAATTTAAAAAACTTCTGTGAATCATATGACACTATCAAAAAAGTGAAAAGATAACCTACAGAATGGGAGAACTATTTGCAAACCATACATCTGATAAGGGTCTAGTGTCCAGAATATATAAAGAACTCCCACTACTCAACAACAAAAAGACAAACAACCCAATTAAAAAATGGGCAAGGGACTTGAATAGACATCTCTCCAAAGAAGATAAATAAATGGTCAGTAGGCACACAAAAAGACATTTCAACATCCTTAGCCATTAGGAAAATGCAAATCATAACCACAATGAGATAGCACTTCACAGCTACTAGGATGGCTGTAATCCAAATGAGAGAGAGAAAGAGAGAATTGTGTTGGTGAGGAGGTACAGACATTGGAATTCTTGACCATTGCTGATGGCATTTAAAATGGCACGGCTGCTATGGAAAACCGTTTGGTATACTCTAAAAAGTTTAAAAATGGAATTACAAAAAGATCCAACAATCTCACTCCTAGGTACATCCCAAAAGAAATGAAAAAAGGGACCCAAACAAATACATAGCAGCAATGTGGATGCCTTTCTTTCTTTCTTTTTTTTTGAGACAGAGTCTCGCTTTGTTGCCCAGGCTAGAGTGAGTGCTGTGGCGTCAGCCTAGCTCACAGCAACCTCAAACTCCTGGGCTCAAGCAATCCTCCTGCCTCAGCCTCCCTAGTAGCTGGGACTACAGGCATGCACCACCATGCCCGGCTAATTTTTTCTATATATATATTAGTTGGCCAATTAATTTCTTTCTATTTATAGTAGAGACGGGGTCTCGCTCTCGCTCAGGCTGGTTTTGAACTCCTGACCTCAAGCAACCCGCCCGCCTCGGCCTCCCAGAGTGCTAGGATTACAGGCTTGAGCCAGCACACCCGGCCTCGGATGCCTTTCTGATGCCCAAGGCTTGTTCTTACCCCGGCATTTCCCAAGCATGGCTCTATGGACATTCGGGGCTAGAGAATTCTTTGTCGCGGGGGCTGTCCTGTGTATCATAGTATACTGAGCAGCAACCCGGCCGCTACTCATTCGACGCCAGTAGCATCTCCTCCCTCAGTTGCCACAATCAAAAATGTCTCCAGACATTGACCAATGTCCCACGGTGAGGACAAGACTGCCTTTGGCTGAGAAGCACTGGTCTCCACGCCTGTGCCTACTCCCTGCCTGCCTCTTGCTTCTGAATGGTGAGCTGGGAGCTTCTGGGGGCAGAGTCTATTTCTTCTTGTGACTGTTTCTCTTGCAGAGAGTAAACCCTCAATAAAAGTTTTTTCAGGTGTCAGCAAGAAAGGTCAGAGTCCTGAAACAGCTGGCTCACACCTGCCCGCAGGAAAAATTTCAACATGAGTAGCTGGCAGGTCGCATTGCCAAAACTGTTGAAAAGCGCTCCTGGCTTCCCCAGAGGACCAACAAACAGGTTAGAGTCTTGGAGTCCCACACCCTCCCCAGGCAGGAGGGTATGACATATGACAGGGTGCATGGGCCCTTCTAGACCTGGCTGCTGAGGGGCCACTGTCCCTCTCATGCCTTCTTTTTTGTTTTTTTTTTTTTGGAGATAGAGTCTCACTTTGTTGCCCAGGCTAGAGTGAGTGCCGTGGTGTCAGCCCAGCTCACAGCAACCTCAAACTCCTGGGCTT